GCACGTATATACTGTATACGCACCTTATGTATTAACTCGTACACGTACTCATACGCACAGACTTACTAGAAAAAATCGCTGTTCATAGTTCATTGAGGAATTGCCTCCCAAATCAAATTGCTCCCACTCTCTGGAAACAGTGTCATTGGCCCTTTACATTTCATACCAGATTTAGCTTTCATTCCCGACATTTAATACGTGATTTAACCTTCATCCCCGATATTTGATACGTGATTTAACCTTCATCCCAGACATTTGATACGTGATTTAACCTTCATCCCCGATATTTGATACGTAATTTAAACTTCATCCCTGATATTTGATACGTGATTTAACCTTCATCCCCGATATTTGATACGTGATTTAACCGTCATCCCAGACATTTGATACTTGATTTAACCTTCATCCCTGATATTTCATACGTGATTTAACCTTCATCCCCGATATTTGATACGTGATTTAAACTTCATCCCCGATATTTGACGTGAATTAACCATCATCCCCGATATTTGATACGTAATTTAAACTTCATCCCCGACATTTGATACGTGATTTAACCTTCATCCCCCACATTTGATACGTGATTTAACCTTCATCCCCGATATTTGATACGTGATTTAACCTTCATATCCGATATTTGATACGTGATTTAACCTTCATCTCCGATATTTGATACGTGATTTAACCTTCATCACCGACTTTTTAAAGTGTCTGTATTTTGATCATGGTATCAATTATATATCTTAGTGATGAAAAAATATCAACTGGGTTTGTGTTAGGGAATTAATTTGTTAAAAGTAATTCTGAAGAGATAAAACCAAACAAAATCCTGAAAATGCAACTAGCATTTCAAAATTAAATGTGACATATCTTCAACAAAAATAGTAACATTTGGATCGAAGCAGAAGTTTTCACTAGAGGTCGTCAAGCACGCATGATTGACGGGCGTGATACACGGGATCTAGTGTAAAAGCTATGAACATAGAAACACAACTAAATCAGTGGGAGTATATTGAAAGACATGCGTCTGAAATCAGTAAAAATACAACTCAATAAAATATACGCATTATGCACTATCTCATGTTAAGATGAACATGGAGCAATATTGATAAACTAAATTATAAAATTGGAAAGCAAATTAAGTAACTGATTTTTTTTATTTTTTGCTGCAATTATTAATCCTCGAAATGGAAGTGAACGCTGAACTGTCACTTCACAAATGAGGCAATATAGATACATGATTCTGCCGACAAACACTAAGAAAACCAAAGAATGGACCTTCCAGAAACCCGGAAGGTTTGAAGAATCTAATGTTTTTGCAGAACGCTGACGCGTTTTGAAATCCTCACAATATTTAATACCGTGGAAGTTATTATATTTTGTCAAAATTTACAAACTCTACGTTTCGTTCAATTTCGCAAACCAATCGATGAAATTTGAATAAACTGATTTGTTTGGAAAACTTCTTTGACGAAAACCTTACTTCGCAGTTTAATGACTTCTTTAATTTAATTTAATTTTATAGGACTTCATGTTAAACAATATTTTCTCAGGAAAATTTCTTTTTTACCGTTTTAACAGCGATTAATAAATTCTTTGGATTTCTTACTCTTGAGCATGCATTATTGTTATGGTCCAAGTTCCTTGTACCACGGTGATGGTGCAAGGTTAGAACCAATGAAAGAATAACACGAACACTGGTATGGAATACAAAGATATATTACAACATAAATTTAATACAAAGAAGTAGAAGTATTAGTAATGACTATCAGATTTGGTTAGAGTGAACTATGTTTTCTCGACAAGTATCACTATTCCAATGTCCTTACAATATGCTCTCAATTATCTCTCCTCGTCTTACAATCTCCTCATAACTCTTGAGAGGCGCAGTATTTATAATGTCAGGAATAATCCATTATTATTATGGGTAAATTCTCATAACAATTATACATCTGGCCATGCGTAAATATTTCTTTGTGTTGGCAAATTCCAACATTTTGAAGCATTTGGCCATGCGATTTGTTTGCAGTTCTTGCAAACGGAGGGCGAACTGGAAACTGGATTTTTGTATATCTAAAAACGTAAAGGAAATATATACAAAAAAAAATATTGCATTTTTATTAAATAAGTATTTGTTATTTTAATCAACAAATAGTTTTTTTTAAAAAGTTGGAATAGTTTCTATGTTAAACAATAAAACTTTTAATTATCCACCAAAAATGAATGCAAATTTATTGTACTAAGCAACACACGCTAGTAAAACCAACTGTAATTTGTACCCCTTCACCTGTTTGCACTTCATCCCCAAATTTGATTTTGATCGATCAATGTATGACTATTTTAGAGGGTGTGACGGAATGACGGACTAAGGTAGTCACAGCATTTTATATATAGTTTTGTACATATATAGATATACATGTTTTTTATCATTTCAACTCAAGCAAGGCAATAAAGCCACTAAAACGCAAAGGTGTTACTGAATGTGAAATAATAATGAGTAAAAGAAAACATTAAAGAGAGAGAGAAAAATAAAAAGATAACGATTGACATTGAATTTAAATTTTTTAAGATCAAAGTTGATTGGACAGCAATTAGCTGGAGGAGTGTTCCACAAAAGAGAAGTTAAAATAGAACTTACGATTATATCCCGCCATTTTAGAGATAGAATCCTGAGACCTTGCCTTAAATCTAGTAGTGCATTTAAATTCATAAAATCTAGGTACCAATGTGGAAAGCACATCATAACAACTGCCATGGATTTCTTTTATAGAAAAAGTACAGGGAATCAAATTTACGATGACACGTATTGAAATCCTCACAGTATTTAGTATTGTTTAAGTTATCGCTAATATTAATGGCGGCATTTACAAACCCTACGATTCATTCAATTTCGCAAACGAATATATGAAATATAAAAAATTAAAGAAAATACATGCAAAGAACCATATTGCATTTTTATTAAGTAAGTATTTGTTATTTTAATAATTAGATTATTTTTAAAATAGCGGGAGTATTTTCTATGTTAAATTATAAAACTTGTAATTATCCACAAAAAATGAATGCAAGCGTATTGTACTAAGCTACGCAACCTATTAATACCAACTTTAATTTGTACCCCTTTACCTGTTTGCACTTCTCCCGGAAGTCATATGATTTTATATATAGATGTATAAATATCTGGTTTCGTTTATCAAGAAGGTGAGCTTTTTATTTCCAACTTGAAAAACAATTTTAAAAATCCAGGGAAGTTTATAAGACAGTACTGAAAAGAAGTATGTTTTTCAGACACGGCAATTCCTATGATGACTTGCCTTCTAATGTCATTTAAGCGTTACACTTCATTAATGGAATTAGGAAATCTGTGATGAATCAGCATAGTTTGTGTTAAATAATTGGTTAGAAAAAATCGAAAACAACAGAAATGTAACTAGTATTCCAGAAGCTACAAGTGACATATATTCCAAAAAACAGTGACATCAGCAATAATTATCAGCAGAGTATATATATATATATATATATATATATATATATATATATATATATATATATATATATATATTCATACAGGAAAAATGTGTATTTATTAATATATATTTAATAGCTCAGTTTTATTTTATCCAGAATCACTTTATTAACACCAGCACTTAATATGTGATACCTCATATATATATTGGAGCGGGTAGAATGTAGATCAACGTGTTTTAGTGGACTCAGCAGTCAATCTGATTGTCTGAATCGTCTTCAAGAAGCGATAGCAAGATCTAAAAGGCCAACCAATCCAACAGTGATATCATTCCACAATCCGCACTCTTGCTCCATATGCGACTTCCTTTGTAAATCACTAGCGGGTTTTAAGTGCCACTTAAGATTATCGCACAAAATTTTATAACTGAATCAATTGTTTAAGTTGTCAGATCCTCATACGTGGAAACCGACCGGAGAGTCCATTTTATGACGAATACAGAACTAAAAAAAATGTAAAACTAAAGGATATGTGTGTCATTTCAGCTCGTTTTTCTATGATCGAACAATTTCAGCCTGCAACACATGTTTTATAAATTTTTCATTATGTAATACAAATGATCACACACACATATACACGCACACACACATGCAAATATATATATATATATATATATATATATATATATATATATATATATATAAAGACATATTCTCTTAAGGGTTGCGATATTTATGGGATAAAGTGCTCAATAACAGAGATAGAGAGTAGGTAAATATAAAAATGAACATCGAAGTCAACACTTAGAGGCGACAGGCTGTTTCATGCTAGACGCAATCGTCAGGCCACGAGTGATGTTTTTTTCTCGGGTATTTATATACACGGGTCAGTGATGCATTGTGGGTAGTCTATTTTGGCAGTTATTTTGCCGGAAGTTGTTTATTTGTTTATTTATTTATTTGGGTTAAATTATATTGCCTGTTTTTATTTATTTTTTATTTTTATTTTTTACTTTTTATTTTTATTTCTTACCTGATTTATTTATTTTTATTTTAATCGTTGTTTTATTAAAGTAGTAAAAAATCGTTTACATCGCTTATTTAATAGTTTTATTTTGATTTTGCTTTATATATATATATATATATATATATATATATATATATATATATATATAAAATTAAGAAAATATACTATATTTACGAGATTTGTCTGAAAAGCAAACAGGACTCTGTGACTTATGGGCGAAAAGATGAATAAGGGATTGCGTTATAATCTAGCATAATATCTTGTGATCTTTCTGCAATCATTGCATTTTTTTAACGTGCGTGAGTTGTGGCATGACAAATCATGGCTCCTTCACCACAACAATGCAACTGTTCATAATGCCCTGAGCATCCCGCAGTTACTGAAGAAGAAGAACATCGCTATACTGAAAAAACAACACTATTCACTTAATCTTGCTCCGTGTTATTTTTTCTTTTCCACAAGCTCAATTTCATTTGGTTAAATAGAGCAGTTAAAAAGTGCAGCTTCGACCATGTCCTTGGCGTGTCCTTTTCGTTTCCACAAGCTCAAGAGGATCATCAACGGGACCCGGTTTGAAGGCGTGCATGCCATCAAGAGGGCTGTTACGACGGATGTAACGGGCATCCAAGAAGAATTCTTCCAGCAGTGTAGAGAAGCGTGAGAGAGAAGGATGTAAAAGTACATTAGACTCAAGTGTGGTTAGTTTGTAGACGAAACCATGTTGTCTGCTCCTTGGAGTTGAAATAATTTGTGTGTGATCACAGCCCCGTTAAATTTCACACAAACCTCGTATAAAGGAAGAGTGCTTGATACCAGATTTAGAACGTTTGTACATATAAAATGTGTAGATAGAGAAATAAACACTGCAGGCCTCAAGCAATCTATCTATCTATCTATCTATCTATCTATCTATCTATCTATCTGTCACAGTTTCTTCTATATATTTATATCTATCTTTCTCAGTTCAAGTCTATCTATCTATATCGGTTCATTATGTATGTATGTATGTATGCATGTATGTATGTATGTATGTATCTCAGTCTACACATATCTGTCTATCTCAGTCTACACATATCTATATATCTCATTCTACTCATATCTATCTATCTATCTATCTATCTATCTATCTATCTATCTATCATTTTCTTCATATCTATCACAGTTTCTTCATAACTATCTATCTATCTTAGTTTATATCTATCTATCAATCTTAGTTTCTATCTTTCTATCTATCTATCTATCATATTCTTCATATCTATCACAGTTTCTTCATATCTATCTATCTATCTATCTATCTATCTATCTATCTATCTATCTATCTATCTATCTAAGTTCTTAAATATCTATCTATCTCTCTATCTATCTCATTCTACACATATCTGTCTCTCTCAGTCTATCCATATTTATTTATCTCATTCCAATCATATCTATCTATCTATCTATCTATCTATCTATCCATGTTTTGTTAAACAAGAATGGAAATGTATTTTTTTTCAATGTATCTTTATATTTTCCTTGAATGCAACAACTGGACGTAAAAAAACTGTAGAATTGTACAATCGTTTCTTCATTGCCATCATTTTTAACCAGTCTAATTGCCATTGTCTGTGATTTTATTTATGCTACTCTAATAAATTCTGAGGAAGTGATACCGTAGACAGACCAAGAGTTGTACAAAAACCCAGAGATATTGAGAATTCTCGAATACGATTATTACATTGTCGCTTTTTCATAGGTGATGTTCTTAACGGTTGTTTTTTTTTTTAAATTTATAATAAAAGCTTCCATTCTATTTAAATGTTGTGATAGGATGGAAGTGCGTATCACATTGGTGTTCTTTACGAGAAATCTGCTTACCATTAAATTCTGGTTTAAATGAACTTGAGTTGGATAGATGTAGAATCAGCAATCTTGACCGACGACTGGTGGTGTGATCTGCATAATTTTATCAAGTTATTTCGTCATGAACACTGTTCCGTACATGGCATTTTAATTCATAGTTGATGATGGTCTCATGCATCTAATTTCAAAGTGATATATATATATATATATATATATATATATATATATATATATATATATATATATCGACATGGCTTCTAGTCAAGAATAAAAAAAAACTTCATCACTTGGTGTTGATCTCAGTGTCCACTTTCATATCACTGATATTGAACACTTTTTACATAAAAGTAGCGTGAATTAAACTATATATATATATATATATATATATATATATATTATAAATTAATTGATTTAAAAATGTTTTTTCGCTACACAGTTCTAACCATGTTTCATTTTTGAAACATGCTTAGAACTGTGTAGCGAAAAATATTTTAAATCAATTAATTTATAATATTAATGGTCTGTAAATTTACATTGGGCACTATTTTGTAAAAATAGCTATGAGAACACCGGATTATATATCTTACTGTTCTTTCTTTTTATTTAAATACACACACACACACACACACACACACACACACACACACATACACACATATATATATATATATATATATATATACCCCAGGCAAGGCAATAAAGCCACTAAAACGCAAGATCTTATTCAGTATTAGAGAATAAGAGAAAAACACTATTAAGGAGAGAGAACATTAACAGAAGAAGAATTTTAAAAAAAAAACAGAAGATAACAATAGACATTGCATTTAAATTTTTAAAGATCCAAGTGTACAGGGAAGCAAGAAGCCGGAGGAAACTTCCATGAGCGAGAAGTGCAATAAAAGAAACTATTAGCAGAGAACTTACGGTTGCATCTCGACATTCCAACTGTAAAGTGATGAGACGTTGCTCTCAATTTCATAAAATCTAAGTATGTTATAGGAAAGTTCACGAGAACAATTAGATTGAAATTATTCATAGAGAACTCACAGAGAAGATACTTTACGCCGGTTGGAAAGTGACTGAAGCCGAGATGCCAGGTCAGGTTCAATAACATTGCAGATTGTTCTTTGAGTTTTATCAAGAATCTTTAAATATATAGCAGTAACACAAGGCCAAATTTTGCAGCAATAATCTGAGCAGCACGGATGGTAGATATGTCAGATAGATTCTGGCGAGAACAAATTTATCATGTATCAACCTTCCTAGCTGCAGATTTAGCAATTTATTCAATATCATGTTTTCACTTCATGTCAGCGGAAAACGTTAGTTCGAGAAGGTAAAATGAATCACCCTCCTGGAATAGAGAATCAGCCGTAATGATGGATGGTAAAAAGGTTTCTCTCAGAAAGAGAGCAGTCGCCTTTTGGAGGCGTTGACATTCACAACAGAAAGCACTTCAATTTTTTAGATCAGCTGCCAAGTTAGTCTTATCAAATCACTCGTACTTACTATGAAGACAAGAATGATTGTTTTATGGTCCGGTTCCTTGTACTACGGTGATAGTCCAAGGTAGAACCAATAAAGAAGAACTCGAACACAGGTATGGAATAACACAGATATATTACAAACAGGCATATATACAGAGAAGTAGAAGTGTTAGTATGAACAATCAGGTTTAGTAGAGAGAACAATATAGTCTCGACCAGTATCACTATTCCAGTGTCTTGCAGTAATTGTCTGAACGCAACTCTGTTTCGGACTGCCTCTGACTCGACTCTTGACTCGACTTGAAGTACTAGTTCTCTCCTACTGACTGAGGCACAGTATTTATTAGGTATGGAATAGTCCATTATTATTATTATTATTATGGGTAAGATCCCATAACAGATTGTTTGTCATCAGCACAGATACCGAGTTGAGAATATATATATATATATATATATATATATATATATATATATATATATATATATATATATATAGAGAGAGAGAGAGAGAGAGAGAGGTATAGCTTCATTATACATGCTATCTACCTATAGATAGAGAGACTTCGTGTATATCGATCTGGGAAACCTACATTTATTTAATCTGTTTTCGTTACACGGCTCATGTGAGATATCGTTCAGTTCTCATCTATTGTTAATATTGTTAAAGCAACACTTTTATCTACTTGACGATTGTCCCGTAGGACAATTTTCTACAAAATTCGATCCTTAAACGTAGAGATTTAAACATAACACCGTGCTGATTAGGTTGCAACTTCTGCTGCTGGCTGTCATGCTTTGACTGCTGCTGTCCACGTTTTGATTGCTGCTGCAGTTGAACTGTGTATTTTTATTGCACCAAGAACACAATAATCGAAAAATATATTTGAAACGTAAGATAGAGGAATGCTTTGGTTTAGTCAGTGGAATTATGGCAGAAATTGTTTAATAAACAAATATTAAAAGCCGAAACGACGTTCATCACTCGTGCGATTTTTTGGGGTTTCACTGTATTTTGTTATTAGACTAAACACGTGCGCGTGCGATAAGATAATTTTAAAGATATGCATCAATGTTAATTGATAAGCTGCGGACAAATTACATGACGCGTGCAATTTCTACACAAGAGGAGACGTAATAACTCTAAAATGTGCCGGGTCCCGGTTGCTTTTATAATCCAACGTGAAAGTTTGATTAGTTTGTTGCTCGCTTGCTGAAAGTGTAACAGACAGAAAGAAAGAAAGAAAATGTAAGAGAGAGAGAGAGAGAGAGAGAAAGAAAAATAAAACGAAAGAGTCAGAGACATGGAAAAAAGTTCGAAAGAAAGAGTCAGTGATATAGAGAACGAAATATCGAACGAAAGTTTGAGAGACAGTGAATAAAAGATAGAAAGTGTGAAGAACGTAGACAAAGAAAGTGTGAGACGAACGAAAAGAAAGATGGAAAGAAAGAGGTAAAGACCTAAAAAAAGAACAGTTTGAAAGATTGAGACACACGGAGAAAGAAAGATAGAAATAAAGATTGAGAGAGATAGAGAAAGAAAGATAGAAAACAATTAATAGAAACGTAGAGAAAGAAACATGGAAAGAAAGTGTGAGAGACATAGAGAAAGAAAGATAGAAAGAGTGACAGACGCAGAGAATGACAGATAGAAAGAAAGAGTAAGAAACATAAAGATAGAGAGAAATGGTGATTGACGTAGAGAAAGAAAGATAGAAAGAAAGATAGAAAGAAAGATTGAGAGACATAGAGAGAGAAAAAAGAAAGACACAAAGAAAGAGTGTGACATAGAGAAAGAAAGTAAAAATAAAGATTGAGAGTTATAGAGAAAGAAAAACAGAAAGATGGTAAAAGCGAGAGACATAAAGAAAGAAAGAAAGAAATAGTGAGAAACATAGAGAAAGAATGATAAAAAGAAAGAGTGAGAAAATATAGTGTGAAAGATAGAAAGAAAGAATGAGAAACGGAAGAAGAAAGATCGAAAGAAAATGTAAGAGACAGTGAATAGAAGATAGAGAGAAAGTGTGAGAGACGTAGAGAAAGAAAGTCTGAGAGACGTAGAGAAAGAATAATAAAAATAAATAGTGATAGACAGAGAGAAAGAAAGGAGAAAAGACAGAGTGAGAAATATAAAGAAAAAGAGGCCAAGAAAGATTGAGAGATATAGAGAAAGAAGGATAGAATGTAAGAATGAGAAATACAGAAAGAAAGATAGAAAGAATGTGTGATAGACATAAAGAAAGAAAGAAAAAAAGAAAGAATGAAAGACATAGAAAAAGAAGGGTAGAAAGAAAGAAATATAGTGCGAAAGAGAGAAAGAAATAATAAGAAATATAGAGAAAGGAAGATAAAAATATAGAAAATGAACGATCGAAAGAAAATATGAGAGAGAGAGTGAATAAAAGAAAGAAAGGGTGAGGGATATAGGATAAGAAAGTGTGAGCGACGTAGAGAAAAATGATAGAAAGTAAGAGAATGACATCGTGATAAACATAGAAAGAAAGGTAGAAAGAAATATGTAGAGAAAGAAAGACGGAAAGAAAGAGTGAGAGAAAGAAAGAGAGGGAAACATAGAGAAAGATGGCTAGAAAGAAAGTGTGAGAGTCGTAGAGAAAGAAAGAGTAAGAGATAGAGTGAAAGAAAGATAGAAAAAAAGAGTGAGAGATATAACGAAAAAAGATCGAAAGAAAGAGAGATATAGAAAAAGAAAGAAAGAAAGAAAGAAAGGAAGAATGAGATACATAGAGAAAGAAAGACGAAAATAAAGACTGAGAGACATAGAAAAATAAAGATCGAAACAGTAGGTGAAGAAAGAAATAAAGAAAGCCAGCGAGCAACGAAGAAAAAAGAAATTGAGTGAGAAATAAATAAAGAAAGCGAGGGAGTGAGTAAAGAAAGAAAGAAAGAAAGAAAGAAAGAAAAAAGAAAGAAAGATAAAAGTTTGAGAGACATAAAAAATGTATATAGAAAGAAATAGTGAGAGACAGAGAAAGAATGATAGAAAGAAAGTTAGCGAGTGAGTGAATTTAGAGAGAAATAAAGTGAGCGGGAAAAAATAAATAAAGAAAATGAGTGAGTTAGTGAATAAAAAAAGAAAGAAAAAAAGAAAAATGAAAGAAAGAAAGAAAGAAAGAAGGA